GCAAGAAATGACATATGCCGCTCCTGGCATGTTGCCAGCTTACGTAGCTCCAGGCACTCCTCCGGTTCCTGTCACTCCTTCTCCAGCTCCTGTCAGTTACGCCCCTCCTGCCCCTGTCAGTTACGCCCCTCCAGCTCCTGTGAGTTACGCCCCTCCCGTCCCTGTCACTGCTCCTCCTGCCCCTGTCAGTTATGCTCCTCCTGCCCCTGTCAGCTATGCACCTCCGGCCCCTGTCAGTTATCCACCTCCTTCCCCCATTACCGTAACTCCCGCTCCTGTCAGTTATGCACCCCCCTCTCCTAGCACTGTTCCTCCTCCTGTTTGGAGCCAGGCCGATGTCGAATACGAGCGCAAACTCATGCAAGAAATGACATATGCCGCTCCTGGCATGTTGCCAGCTCCCGCTCCTGTCGCTCCTTCCCCAGCTCCTGTCAGTTACGCCCCTCCTGCTCCTGTCAGTTATCCACCTCCCGCCCCTGTCAGTTATGCACCTCCAGCTCCTGTCAGCTATGCACCCCCTGCCCCCGTGACAGTTCCACCAGCCCCTGTCAGCTATCCTTCCCCCTCCCCTGTCACAGTCACTCCTGCTCCTGTCACCGTCTCTCCTGCTCCTATCACCGTCTCTCCCGTACCGTCTCTCCCCGTGACAGTTGCTCCTGCCACCCAGACAATGATTGTTAGCCCAATGGAGGTATGTGACTGACAGTTTTTTCATTTTTGTCAAAATTCTATTGTCAGGAGCGTTGTGACCAATGTCAGACAACATGCGCCCAAACTTGCAAGCAAATGGCTATCATTCCCACGATTTGTCAGCCACAGTGCAGGAGGATATGTTTGCCTGTCTGCTTGCCATCTCCAGTAAGTTGTCATTTGTCCGTTGTCTTGTCATATCCTTTCCTGTAAATATCTCCTAACTCTAGGTTCCCGGACGCCAAATTCGAGTGATTCTGGAAGAGTCCCTGATAAACAGTGTTGATTGTCAACCACGATGTGTAACAGTCTGTAAAGAACAATGCTTCCAAATAAGCCCGGTAAGTTTGATTTCAATCCATCAAAAGGGGTAGATTTAGCAGTTCCCTAGGTCATCAGCGCCATTAACATTCCATGACTTAAGTTGTGTAAAACTGCGTAAATAAATCAGGTCATTGCTACTGATTAAAGGCGCCGCCATTGCG